CACAACGAACTGGACGCTCGATTGGCAAGAGCCATATTCGTCCTGTGCAACTGAACTGACACAATTCAACAGCACTGCCCGTTGGGTAAGAGTGACCACATTGTGCTATCCGTTGATATAATAGTCCGCTGACCCAGCTGCGTCACACCATGTCTTGGGGAAGTTCGTTCTTTCGAAAGAACAAAGTTCAAAAACCTGAATCATTTCCTCCAAACCCATACCCTCTAAACCAGTCAGATAAGTAATGTAGACATCCTGAGTAGCACAATAGAGTAGTGTATCCGCACAGCGAACCATACGCTGGTGCCCCGAGTCCGTCAATAACCCTCAAACAGGCACCCTTTACCGCGGGCTATTCGTCACCGTTTAGAAGAACGTTCGCGGTCCTTTGTTAAATACAAATTGACGGGTTTGACGGAAGATGCCAACAGCTTAATTCGCATTCGCAATTTATGCAAGGATCCTGAAGTACCAAAGTAGCAAACAGAACGGCATCCTAACCGGGGTATGGGTAGACAGGTCAGTCCTGTACAAATACATGCGGCGAACCCGGTACAACACCCCCTCCACCCTTGCCCTATCGAAACTCGACGTTACCCCAGCCCCTTCATCTGCAGAAGTGGCGGAAATGTTCCGGTCCAATTTCGATCAAGTCTTTAACATCCCATCTCCAATCAGTCATCCTAATCTTCATCCCCTAACCTACCAATCCCCGTTAGATCACTTTGTCATAACAGTCTCAGAACTGGAAGAACAACTAAAACGCGTGAACACCTTCAGCTCGATGGGTCCGGATGAAATCCATCCGCGCATACTGAAAGAATCTACGGACCTGTTGGCTGCCACATCTCTTTCAAAGGTGTCCAGACACAGGAACCCTTCCACAACAGTGGAATAGAGCAACAGTTATCCCTATCTTTAAGAAAGGCTCGTCACTTGCCCACTAGCTGTAGACCTATCAGCCCAACCAGCATTCCCAGTAAGATCTTCGAGAGCCTCCTTAAACGGTGTATTCTAAAGCATTTAACTGAGAACGGTTTGGTAGATGCTTCCCAACAAGGCTTCCTCCCAAACAGGTCATGCATCTCCAATATGCTGACCGTAGTGGATAGCATAACCCGTGTCTATGATGAAGGTCATATTTCGCAGGCGATCTTCAAAGAATTTGCCAAAGCCTTCAACAGAGTACCACACATTCCTCTCTTGTACAAACTATAGAGTTATGTTATCACTGATCGATTGCTTTCCCTATTTGATAGCTTTCTGTCAAATCGCTCCTTCTCGGTTCGAATAGTCACATCCGTTTCTTCACCCTCTCTAGACTTAATAGGAGTCCCACAGGGCTCCGTACTAGGTCCTATCCTTTTCCTGATTTATATTAACGATCCCCCTGAACGTTTACCAGTAGTGATTGCCATGTACGCGAATGACGACACTATCTGGGGCACAGACGCATCCAAAATGCAGTCGGTGATTGGCCAAACCAAAAATTGGTCAGTCAACTAGAGCTTACCAATCAATAATGAAAAATGTGCAAGCATGTCCTTTGGTAACGCTCCTGGTCAACCCTTCTGGGTAAACGGTTCAACCCGAATCACCGCCTGGCTTGCCGGTCCACTTACTCAACCGGAATACTCTCTTCAAGTGAACGTGCTCTGGCACGCCTGCCACCCTTAGGAGATTAATAACGCTATGCCTTAGATCTCGTTCCCTTTGGTGTCAGATGACGCAGAAGGGTCTGTGATGTCTTTTGTGACGAAATTCCTGTGTCTGCCGAGGGAAGTTTCACTGCTGGCCTCCAGTCATAGCATGTTCTTGGTTAACTGACTCAAATTCTGTTGTAGCTCTACCAGCTTTCTTTTCTGATTCATTGCTCAAGCTACTAAGACTTCGATATCCTCCTGCAGCTGATTCAAAGCTTCTCTACTGTGCAACACCTCTTTATCGGCTGCAGTATAATCCCTGCGTCGTACCCTTATGGCAGTTTTCGTGGCCGACTTCAACCAATCTGAAGTTATCTGCTGGATCTCCTCTAATAATGCGGTCTCTCTACACATCCTAACACAGACAGCACATACCCACCTCAGGAATTTGTGTTCAGTATAGAGGTTCTTTGCCCTTTTAGCTAGGTTACTACACTTCTGGCGGTACTAACGTTTGCAAACATTGCACCAAATGCCGTCAAACATGTCCTGATTGCAACCTTGGATCCCAAATGGGAACTGTTTTAGTCTAGGAGTACAGATGTTTACCATCTCTCTTGTTTTGGTGTTCTCAACAACTATTTGGAAAAATACTATGAAGCGAGAATAGCTACGTTGCGAAGAAAACTATGTAGACTAATAATCTTACGGTTATTAAATCTATAACAAAATGATATCCTACGAAAACAATACTTATATAACAACATGTATGCCAGAAGAACTAATATGAAAACTAATTTGAGCACAACAAAAATAAACTTATCAACCACAACAAACTTTCGAATCGCTCTTCTGCTCAAGGTCAGGTCAGATCGACAATTTCACGAAATGGTGAGGTGGTACCGCTGCACAGAACGGACGCTTGGACGGTAGCAAAAGCGATTTTTATTAAATGGTTTGCTCGGTGGAGTGTCTCTTATCAACTACACTACGACCAAGGCTCCAACTTTGATATCCTGCTTATTCGGGAGCTCTGTCACCTTTTGAAAACCAGGAAAACGCGCACGACAGCGCATCGTCCCGAAGGTAACGGCCTCGTCGAACGCACCAACAACACGCTTAAAGACCTTTTGTGCACGTTCCTGAACCATAAAACGACGAGTCAATAGGATACCGCCCTTCCGTGCTGTCTTCTGGCATACCGCGTCATTGTTCACGCAGCCAGTGACTAAACCATTCACTGCATGGTAGCTGGCAGAGAAATCCGCCTCCCGTTTGATGCCTGTTTCCCACTGTGCTCTTCCCCACATGTCCGTCAACTTTTAATCGGTATCAAACGCACAGACCCTAGCCCGACAACACCTCCAGGCGGCGTAGCGATACCACGAGTCATCCTCTGATCGCCCAGCTAATCCCCCAAGTTTCCAACCTGGCGACCGGGCTTGGCTTCGAGAGCCGGTACAACCCGCTGCTGGAAGAAGTGCAAACCCAAATGGAAATGACTTACAGAGTAGACGATGCGGGCTCACCAAT